AAGCCATACAATTTTACATATATTAAGTAATGTCACTGCATTCTGAATTTCTTTAAGTGCAAAGGCTGTCTCTTTATTGCAACAAGTAGTACTTAGTCTGTCTAATTTTCTTAATTAAATAACTCTTAGTTACTTTCATCTGGTTCTACAGAGTATCACAGTGACAAATTAAAAAATACAAACAACAAAAAAGCATTTTCTTCAACTTATTCATAACCACACATTTATTCATTTTCCCCCCTATAATTTATTATTTCTTCATTTCAAAACCATAAATGGGACTAGGAGTTCAACTGATTGTGGTCTTTGTGTTCACTATAAATTTATTGTCAATAATAGCACCTTGGAATGCCATTTGTAGCAAATAATCTATTGCTATGACATGCATGATTACCAAACAACGTATACAAAATGTAGATATTCTAAATTGTTAAATAAGAAAATAAAATAACCAAACATCAGTGGAATTATTTTATTAGAGTATTGGAACAAATAAAATAAAATCTGACGACAAAAATCTTTCAGCTTATTTGTGAAAGATTCAGGGTAATCAGCAATATTCTGTAGTTTTTGAACCTTTCATTATCCCAGCTCTTATTCCTTGTTATTACTTCAAGGAATGCCAGATAGTGGGCACTTAATAGATGACTGCTCATTTGGATTGAACACCTTTAAAATTCTAAATATAAAACGTAATTAATATGGTAAAGAGTAGATTCTGTAGTTTCAGGCATTTCAAATATACCTTGTAAAAAATTCAAAGTGTCATCATTAAATTTGTGTCATTGATTACATTACTTAAAAAGTTCAAAATATTCTTGATTTATAACCAGTTAATTTTCCAAAGTCAAAATGATTTTGAATTTTATTTCCCTTTCTAATATAAGTTAAATACTGTGAGAAAATAATAAATAACTATAGAAATCTGTTAAAAATGCCACATTGCCAAAATATTAAATGTACTTCATTGCAATAGCAAACATATAAACTTATATGTAAATATAGATTTAAAATAACACCGCTCATCAGATTTGTCTTAGATTTCTGTATCATTCTTGTTTTCAAATCTGTAATGTGAATATGATTACTGATTCATTAGTTTCTTAAAATCCTATAATTATGCTACAAAACAAGAATATTTTAACTGAGTCTATCTTTCAAAATACAATTAAGTCAGTTGGTTAATACTGACATAGTCAAACAGCAAAAGGTCGGAAGTAAAATTCTAAATATAATTAATAAACTCAAGAACTTTTTATATGTTCTCAACTCATAACATCTATGTCCATAAGGCTCTGAAGCATATGAGTGAAAAGTGAAAAATACAGATATTTATCTACTACTTGATATATATCATGTAAACAGTCAGTTATATGAAACTGTCCTGATGTTGAACTGAGCTTCTCATTTCATCTAAAATGCCCTGGATTGTGTAAAACAGTACTGTGTGTTTTAGCTAACTTGAGAAGGCTGTGTGTCTGTCTACTTGGGGGTTTCAGATAGTTTTATTTTTACATTCCTTGGTTGCAGAAGGCATTTGTTAGCAGTTCTGATATTTTTCCGATCTTCAAAATCATAACCACAAAATCTTCAGTTTAGTTATAAAGTATACCTAGCTGTAGCTCCTGAAATTCAGGAGTATGAGTTTCTCTAGTTAGTTAGGAGGGACTTTTAAAAAAAATAAATTGGCTACAAGTTTCAAATTCACTGAAAAGTTTTCAATTATTCTAATTTTACTGACAATAATTTATTAATTTTGAAAGGAAGTATGAGTGCGCCCCTCAAAAATAAAATGCAATCTACTAATTGTGAAACTTTCTGGGATTTCCAAGTAAGCAGGTTTTTAAATTAATTTGCATCTTCCAAAATCCTGATTACCGTAAAAAAAAAATGTGCATGCTAAGAATTAAATCTCTCACACTGTAGTCACAGAAAATACTTGCTGGTATGTTAGATACTCACAGAAATGTTGTTAGATGTCTAAAAACAACTTTTTAAATCTAGGAGTATTGCAGTGCTGACCTTAATTGGAAAGAAACTATGAGATAACTTTCTCCTGCTAAGAAACCTGCTTATAGGTGGGATTTCCCATGATTCAGAGAGTGTGATGAATACTTACTCACAGCACCTCTCTCCCCAGACAGTCTTATTTTAAGCAGAAGATAATTTTTAAAGAAAAAGGAATTGACATAGCAATCAATGCTGACCAAAAATAATGTAAACCAGATTTTAATAAAATTTGAAATCAGTTTTCCTCTTTAAAAGACTAAGAAATGACTAACATAGAAAGATGAAAAATTGTAAAATTTCAGATTTGGCCATCTATTTTTTATTTGTAAAACAGAAATACCGGAAAACAGATTCTTAACGTAAAAGAATAGCAAAAACAAAAGTTAACCCACTTTTTACATCACTAGTTTGAAAACTGAATTTAAGCAAGGCATGGTCACATGAATTAGAAAGATAGTAAACAGCAATGTGTGAATGTCCAAAACTAACATTTGGACGTTATAGACATCTGGTGACTTTTTTTTTACAGTTGACTTGTAAAATCACCGAATCGTGTGTGCTTTTTCCTAAGTGCTGAATTATTTAAAACCAATTTAAAATGACTGTATTTGTCGTGTTATGAGTGCTCACTTCTTTTAACAATGATGTTTCTGAGCATGCTGGAATTTCCTACACCACCATGTGCAGAAGGAGGTGCCTCGGAGCGAGTGGGCTCCTTTCAGGGGCTTTGTGGCTGTTTCACGAGGTCCTGCCGAGCCCTGCTCCGGCTCCGGGAGCGCCAGCAGCGCCTGCTGAATGCCGCGGGGTCGGGGGCGCATCAGGTACTGCAGCTGCGAAACCTCCGCTCCGATCGGGCATGCGTTTTGGTTTGCACACTGCCGGGCGGAGGAAACACATTTCAACCACTTGGGCATCCATCACTCTCGGGGGTGATGCGTTGGTCTCTGCCTACAGAATGATCTTTGCACTGAGGGATCCCTCTTCCCTGGGAGAGTAAGTCACTGGGCGTTACTTCTCTTTGGCTCCGGAGGCACGAAGCAGACCCCCCATGACCACCAAGACCCGTCCAGAGCGAGGAAAGTAGTAGATAAGGAGTCACCCCGCACACGCGTCGAGTCCCCGGGAGAAGGGGGTCTCGGGGAGCCGCGGGCAGCGTGCACTCCCCGGAGGGTGCAGGGCGGCTCCGGCGCGCGGGGATCTGCTCGCGCGCAGCGCCGGCTCCCGGAGGGC